CAGGAACTTTTTGTCTGCCTTCAAGATGAAACTTAGGTGAACACCGTTTCTCGACATGCCCGATCCGAATATCGCGGTCTCCCGGCTTGAATCGTTGCGAGGAAAAAGCAGGTAGTTTTCATATGATACGAAAAATGAAATAAGCTGAATGATATAACTTTGGGATAAGTAAACAGCATTGAAAGAAAGAGTTAAAAGACATAAAAGTTATCATGAGGTGTCTCCAGATGCCACAAGTCTTTATGGTACTTTTTTGTGATATCCTACCTTTGTGTAAAATACATCTATCTCACTATCAAGAAATTTGCTCTGTATGTATTTATTTTGAGCTCAATCTCTAGCTGAACCTGAAATGATTGCATCATGTTCCCACTATTGTTTACTTAATCTTAATGTAAAATGTTTAGGTTCATGTCTTATTATTGTTGGTGATGGTAATGGAGGAACTGAATTAGTTGAAACTGATGCTGTAGTTAAAAAAGATGATGGTGATGGGGGGATGGATTACTAGCGGCTGTTGTTTTTTGTTTGAATTTTGATTTTGTCTGTTTCATTACGTCTTCATTTTGTTTCATCAATAGATCGCTAAAATATTTGATATTTGCTCTAATACCAGCTTTTAACAGATGACCAGTTAATGGAAATGAAATTTTTTCTTTTTAATTCAGTTAAATCGGGACAATCAACATCTGTAATGCCAAATACATCGTCAGTCAATAATAAAGACTAAGCATTTGCTGTTTGCGACACTTCTTTTCAGCTGACCGGTTTTCCGAAGATCTAGTTTTCAATCTTTATTTTTGAATTTTACTCAAAAATGGGCAAAAATGGGATATTTCATCTAATATACGTTTCCACTAAGTTTCTGAAACTTTTTTAAAAACAAATGCTGCCACGAGATTCAGCATAGTCGGTAACCTTTGTTTTCATTCATTTCTAACAGTCCCAAACCTAACGGCAGGGGAGTCCTAAGGCTTCAAGGAAAACGGGAGTAGCGTGCTCGAACCATGGATTTTGAGATGTGACTACTTGCCTGCTGAAGTGTTCGGACGGTTCCGGTTAAACGAATACACGATTCAAAACAAAACGCTGAACAGGATGCTGATTTATCATGTCGAGGTGCTTAAGGAGATAAACGAGTATGTGCATGAAGAGAAAATACTTCTATATCGATAAATCATAAAGATTGGCTGCTGTTGCAATGGACACGGCAGAAATGAACTAAACTTTCATTGAAATTGATCTCATCTTCATTTTCGAGAGAATATAGAATTTTAGTCAACATACTATAAATGCTAAACTCGAACTTGCACTTGATGTGTAGAAAACAACCGTTCCAGAAGCAATACATCAGGAAGGAAAACACAAAAGCTATTGGGCTTGTGGAAAAAATGTATCACCTTAGAGGAAAATAAAATAATCGCACCAAAAGAAAAAAGAATAGAAAATAATAACAAGAAGAAGGGATGACTATACTAATAAGGTAAAAGAGAACATCGATACGAAAACAAAAGGAAAAAGATTAGAGTGTACTTTAAAAAGAAGTAACTGTTTGTTGATTTGATAAGGACTTTTTAGCTTGTACTTTGGGACGAACTTCAGTCCTTAATAACATCCAACAATGTAATTTTAATGATCTTATTGATATACGTTCATCATAATATTTTTTCGTTTGCTTAGCTAAATTATGAACGAAGAAGTTACATTTTAGACAGAAGGTCTATGCTATAACCTTTTCTATATGTAGCAACAAAATATAAGTTTCTGAACTGACTTGAAGTTTTTCTTACTTTCAACAGTCACAGATCATTATCAGCTTTAGAAAAACTCTTTTGTTATTTATTACAACGTTTGCATACTTAATACAATTGCCTGATTATCCTTGAATAGAATAATAATAATATATGAACAAAAGAACACCTTCGTATTCGAAATGTCCTTATTTAACTCATTCATTCCTTCAAGGTTACAAACAGACGTTTATTAATAGATAATTTCTCCGGTATCATTCTGAAATATTATCGTATCGACGATGTATAATATACCGTTGTTTCTATGTGCCCTTATTTTACATGTATCATGTGGACATGAAAGTTCAAAAATCTCACATATAACAACAGTAGTGCAAGTACCCACTAATGATTGGACACTAGTTAAACATGCCCAACAGCGTGACCGGCACATTACACCAGTAAAATTAACGCTGATTATTAAAAATGAACCAAGACAAGTAGAACGTTTAAAAGTGAAATTTAATAAAGTGAGCAATCCATCTCATTCTGATTATGGTAACTATATGAGTTATGATGATCTACATAAACAATATTTAAAACAAACAACCAAACATGGTCGATATGTTGCACGGTGGTTAAAACAACAGCATCCACAATTGCGAATAAAACCAACGCCACACAAAGAATTTATAATCATTAAATCATCCATTAGTACTATTGAACGCGTATTTCAAACAAAACTGAATATATATAAACATAACCTAACTGGAGAACGAATAATTAGAGCAACACATTTTAAATTACCATCGAATATTCATCATCGAATATCATATATAGAAGGTTTAAGTCAATTTCCTCCTACTTCTCGTATAATCAATAGCAATCAAATGAGTACAGTATCTAGTGCACCAATTCTTTTTCACATACGTTCAGCATTTTCAATGTTTACTATTTATGTACAATTAGTATGTTTCAACGGCGATAAAGCATCCAATTCTTTGTGTAATGATAACTTCAAAGGTTTTGAAATCATGCTTAGACCGATGAAACAAAGTGGAGTATCTCCTATTAAATATTCGCTATCACAAGCTGATTCAAGTTGCATGATATGTAAATATGGTATACCGTCTATAACTAACATCTGCAATGTACTTCGATTGAGTAACGACAGTGTTCTATGTGTATTTGATTTAACAGATGATTCAATTCCCAATTTTACCCCGTATATGATTAGTATTAGGTCAAAATTTTTTGATATGAACAGCAAAATTGTTTATTCACAAGAAGTTCCCTATCTATCACCAGTGGAAAAGGTGGTAGCAATGACACCGGATATTCTGGCATCATTGTATAATATCAGTGGTACAAATAAACCTACTTCCACACTTATGAGACAAGCCGTTGTAGGATTCAGGCAGTATTTGAATAAACAATCCTTTTATAATTTTGCAAAAGCCTATGGAAATAATTTTAATCTCCAACCAGGAAAAATCTACGGTGATAATTATCAGAACAAGAGTTACGATGAATTAGAAACTTCGTTAGATCTTCAGTATTTGGCATCAATGGGTTCTGGAATACCAACTGATTATATATCAGCATCGCAAAATTTTGATGGATTTTTGATTGATTTTTTTGTTCAACTAGCGTTTTTAGAACAAAAGAAATATATCGTTATGCCATTAGTCTATTCCATTAGTTACGGTGATTCAGAAAACGAAATTGGCAGATCTCTAGTTCAAATTTGCGATTTTCAATTTATGAAAATGGGTCTTACAGGTAAATCAGTATTTGTCGCAGCAGGTGATTCGGGAACGTCGTTTGTTGATAATGTTTGCCGAGATAACTTTGTTTCCATTTATCCTGCTTCTTCACCGTACATAACAAGTGTGGGCGGAACACAATTAATAGGAAGTGATGATAATGAATGTAAAAGATATATAGCACAAGCACCTAATATTTGTTTAGAAGAAATTGTTGCATATACTACACCATTGACAGGATGTTCAATAACATCTGGCGGTGGATTTTCGACGTTTAGCATGGCACCAGAATATCAGAAAAAACATATTGATGATTATTTTCAAATTGGAATTGATACTTTACCACCCGTAACTTTTTTTAATAACTCGAATAGAGCCTATCCTGATCTTAGTTTATTGGCCTTTAATTACATGATAAAAATGAATGGCAATCAAGATACTGCAGTAGATGGTAGGTAAAAGGAGTTAAATATTAAAACTGTATTAATTACGTTTGTATATTTTCCCTGTCAAAGGTACATCTGCAAGTACCCCTGCCATTGCTGGTTTATTTAGTTCGATTAATGATCGCCGACTGCAGTATAATATGAAACCGTTAGGATTTCTAAATCCACTGCTTTATCAATTGGCTGAAATATATCCTGAAGTATTTTATGATATTACTAAAGGCGGCAACAATTGCAATAGACTTACATGTTGCAAATATGGATTTTCAGCACAAAAAGGTTATGATCCAGTTAGTGGTTTGGGTTCAATCAATTATGATCGATTAATGAAATTACTTACACAATAACAGCCAAAATTATGAAGTTTTCTTTTTGTTCTTATTTTTTAAACGTAAAAATCTGCCGGATTTTTAGATTAACAGAAGAACATATCATTGTAGATCGTTCGAGGAAATTTTCCTTTCTGTGCGTGCAATTGAAGAAATAATGGAAGTAACTGGCAAATCACTTGTTCACGTGTTGCTTTCTAGCGGGAGTGTTAAAAAAGGCCGGGATCACTTGTAATTTGTCTTGTACAGGATGAACCGGAACTTCCACTCACAACAATATTCTCTTATGATGGATCCATTACTTTTTAAACAAAGTACAATTAACTTACGGGAAATGCAAACAAAATAGATGGAAAGTAGTGCATAACGGATTATGGATAAGTTTTGCAACAAATGTCGAACGCTGTTTCTCTATGCTCCTACTATTCTGGAGCTTGCACTTTCTTTTTGTTTGAAAGAGCAAAGTCTGAACTACAAGACGCGTGTCAAATAAAATATCACTCGCAAATCCTCACTAAAAAAATTTAAAAACTAAACATCACTAAAAATGTACTGGTAAATCGTCAAAATGTCCGCTCTCTATCTTCTTCGGAGCGGTTCTTTCTGGTTTAAGGATAAGCTTGAGAGATGACTGATTATTACATCTGAGAGTATTTGAAACACTCTTTCGAATGGTGTGCACTACATTTTTCCTTTTATTCAGTTTCTGTGAAGAAATAATCGTTTATTTGAGGACCGTTAGAGAATCAGTTTATTAGCATTAATTGCCAATTCTTGAATTAACAGATGAACTTTTACCCAGTTATTG